GGAGGGCAAAATAATTTCTGAATAGTCAAACTTAATTACGCTTTTACACCCATTATCATAGCACCTCAAATTGCGCATTAGAGTCCCCAAAAAGTCTATGTTCTTGTGCATAGTAAAAATCAATGACGATTAAACAATACCCGCGTTGTTGTCCGCCAATCGGTAAACATCACTATAGATCGGCGGGCCTGGGGACTGTACCAAAATATTTACGTAGGTTGACATTTTCCTGTAAGATGGTTCTCTACTCACAAAGTAGCGTAAATACAGCAAATAATGGCCAAATCAGTTGAAAAACGTGGCCAAGACCACGGTCACAGCTGAAATCAGGGATACATTTATATAAGGGTTATACCAAAACGTGGCCCAACCAATATTCTCTTGGGGGTTACAAATTCAATAGAAAACAAAATTTTCTTTTCTGACCACCAATTAGATGTGAAAGTGGACTTGGGGTGACTTCGGTATTTTTCTGATTGTACATTGGACGGATTATTGTGACAGGAAAGAAGTAGTTCCACGCTTTGAAATGAGCCCCATTAGGCTTCTTCGGTAATTTTTGTTTGTTCAAATGTGTTCGCATCTTCCAGCTGAACCACGATGTCGGCCCTGGAGTTGAAAGGTAGATGTCAGTTAACATCGTATTTCCCACTTATTTCATTTTTTGGTGAAAATTTGTATATAGTGAAAAATTATTCTTTATTTTGTTCACAAAAAATTTCCTGAATTCAATTAGATAATACAAATTGAAAAAAAATTGACAAAAGAAGAATAACACATTGAAAAAATCTTCAACTTGTTCGCTGATTTTTTACAGCAAATGTTTAAAGATCCTTATATAGTTTGTCAATACAATGTACTTCTATTTTAAAATTCGATTCCATTAAATTATTCCGACATCATCTATTCCGTTTCGCCACCACATAATTCGGTACTACACTTCCATGTAACTCGCCATCAATTTCATTTCTCAAGAAATCAAGTCAATGAAATAAATTGGTATTAATATTTGAATTCAAAAATAAAATATAAAAAGCACTACAAATGTACATTAGAAAAAAGTAAGTCAAAATAGAAAAAAAGCATGCAAAATAAAACATTACTATTGTACATTTCAAAAGTCTTTCATTGAAACTTTTGAAATGTACAATAGTAATGTTTTATTTTGCATGATTTTTTTCTATTTTGACTTACTTTTTAATATGTTAATATATCATATTTTTACGCGATTTTTTTGTATATTATCCTTTTCGGAGAGGAGACAATTCCGAATTTGTATGGATCGTTAAAATCAGTCCAGCGGTTCTTAAGTTATAAGCGTAGTAACTAACACAACATTCTTTTATATATAGATAGATATAGATTAAAAAGTACTGACAACGACAGTTCCTCAGCCCCAAATAAATACTTAGAGGGGGATGGAAAGTCAACAGTATCTCGTGCAATAATTTTCAAACCGATATCACCTCTATATGGCAAATATAAGGATTTTAGATAAATCAAAATTGTGGGCGCAAAAGTGAGCGTGGTCTATATTTTTTTTCTTTAAAAACCTAACTCGGGGTATGACGAAAGTTTTTACAAAAAATTATGCAAATCGGTCCAGCCGTTTTCAACTGATTCCGTTACCAAGAAACAAAAATTGATTTATATATATATAGATTATTGAATCAGTTCAGAACTGCTGAAACAATTGGAATATTATGTTTAATGTTCGTCCTACCACGAGTTTGGATTTTATGTAGTGAAAAAGTGATCACGCCCAAGTTTACGTCCATTTTCGATTTACCTAAAATGCTAATATTGGCCAAAATAATGAAGATATCTGTTCCACAGTTAGTATGCAACGTAATCTTGACTCTCCCTCCAAGACTAGGTATCTGTGTGGGTCAGAGGAGCGTTTTTAGATCTATATGTAAAAAAATTAAAAAAGTATAGTAAACTTCTGTTGAGGGTGACTGGTCCGATTTAACTCATATTTCTTTTGGTTATTTGTAATTACACTGGAAACGTTTTCAAGAAAGAAAATTCAGAAAAGTCTCTAGAAAGAAAATTGAGAAAAGTCTTTAGAAAAATTGCAAAACTGAAATTAAATGTTCTATTTGGATATGGAATTTTGTGTAGAATGGTTTAAGAATGCCTTTTGGAATTGAAAATTCTTCTTGAAAAAAAAAACGAGAAATTTTGCATATTTTCTTTAAATGCCGTTATATGGTTGCCATACCAACATTTTAAATTTTGATTAAAAAATACTTTTCGAAGCATCAAAACATTTAAAAGATCAACGTGCTTTTAAACAGTTAATGCCGGGATTGATTTCACAATATGTACTCCAAACATTAAATTTTAAATTACTGTTGTAACAACAACATGCCATAATTTAATCGACAAATATTTCTACTATTTAACATACTTTATAAGGCTTCTAACTTTTTTAAACCGATGACACCTTATTTATGATAGTTAAATTAAAGTCATATTTCCAGGATTTCTATTTAGAAATTACTATCGATCCTGAGATCGGAAACTCCAAAAAAATGGTAGAAATGGAAATAATCCATCCAAGTCAAAATTCATTGAGACTGCAATCAGTGAACTACCGAATATAAAGAGGCAATGTAATATGCGTACTATACAAAATAGTGGAGCGAATTGAAAATTTAGTAAGAAAAGGATTCATTCATTCCCAGGTAACGTCATACGGGGACTATGTGCTATCGTCAGTAATTACACTGCGCCGCAGAAAATCATGAGGTTGGGAAATTTTTCGGTTGGTAGATAAAAATCCCAAAAGAGGGGATCGTCAGTAATTACACTGCGTCGCAGAAAATCATGAGGTTGGGAAATTTTTCGGTTGGTAGATAAAAATCCCAAAAGAGGGGGTTTCCTGGTCAAACTTTTTTAGGGTCCATTTTATATAGCTTAACCATACACAAAGGGCCTCAAATGTTTTCCTCTATACTCCGCAAAAGTTAAGATAGAGTTTTAAATTTGATGCAGTCCTATGGGTTACATGAAGAATCATTTGTACAAAATATGTATTCCTTAAATGTTGGTAATTCAAGATTGTAGAAAGAAGAAGAGATTCTTTCAAATAATTATAAGTATAGGACCATGCTTTGGTATAACTATATACAGGTTCTTGGTCACAATTTCAATTGATTTTGCCCTTATTTGGCAAGTTGGTTCCTAAGGGATAGAAGACCTCTTCGGGGAAAAATTTTAAAGTCAATGTTTTGGAGTAGCGCCCATATAAAGGTGCCTCCTGATTTTACCTATTTCGAGGGTTTTGATTATATTTTCGAATCGATTTGGCTTAAAATGTGTGTTTAGTCTACTTTTAGTCGAGTCATCATTTATACTAAAAACTGTGACCTATGTGAGCCAGTGTGTCTGTGAATTATTATGCTTTAAAAACTATGCATTAAAGACTAAAACTACAGACCGGCAACGCGGTCTGGGTCAGCTAGTATATTTATAAATATGTTCGGTTTAAACATTTGAATAATTAGAAAGTAGCACTTCACTGAGAAATGACAGTGACAAAACGACTTCCAGTAACAATTTGCTGCATCAAACAAATGTGCAGTACACTCTCAACACACAAGTGCCAAAATTACTTCCGCATTTCGCTCTCTTTTACTGGGCAATATCCTTTTAAATGTTGTATCTATTAATACAAAATCAATTAAATGGATTACAAAGAATGGATTGTTGGTTACACAGTTTTGGACCGAACTGTATTTATTTATAAAATACGATGGCGCAGGAACAACCTTTACAGCTGCTTTCTTTAATGTACGTAGATTTGTGTGTTTGTGTGAAGTATATTCCTGCACCAATTTATATGGATACACACTATATACCTACTCAATAGCATTAAAAGACGAAGCAGAAACTGTTGTTTTTAGAATGATTGGGGAAACATACACATTGTTATGAGCAGATGTTTCAGGCTTCAAAGGATTTCACACCCGTAGCGTATTGTTTTTTAAAGTTCGTTCGCTTTGCCACCAACTTGTTGTGATTGTGTAGACATACATTCACTTGCCTTCTACTTATACTGGAATTTACCTGGATCTGTTTCGACAATACACCTGGCAGGTTTACCACATACAGTTTATACTTTTCACGTCGTTACCTGTGCCAGCCAGGTAGCGATATACTACGTTTTGGATGTTAGATTTAATTGCTGAACGTAGTATTGTGAATTTACTTACAAATGAGATTCTTTGCAAAACTATTCTCAGCACTTATAAATCATGAATAGGATTAGAAAACAAAGTTGTGCTTGTTTTTTAGATTGGTGTTCATAAATAACTAATACATTCATTTTCTTCATGGCACTGACTGGCTCTTAAGACACTGTACCTTGCTGACGGCAGGACAATACAGTGATACATACATAAATGCATGCATCGCTATATTAAATGTGTTTCCACAGACTGTGGAATCCTTTAAGTGACTCTTAGTCCTCGCCATCACATCTGTTTTCGCTTATGTATGTGTACGTTAGAGTGTGTACTTGGCTGTGTGTGTCGGCTGTGTGCATCTTCTACAGCTGTGGTGTCGAAGAAGCCAATGCTCGGTTTAGTTAGTTTTAGACTGTGGATGCGATAACATCCGAAACACATGCGTATGTGCATTATGTGTTACTGATTTCCAAATATACAAGTTAGGCGACAAACATTGTCGTTGTTGTTCGTTATATGTCTGATGGAAGGATAATAGAAATTGAACAGTCTGTGTTGTGATATGAATAAAAAATGATATATGTGTTTGTTCAAAAAAATGAAACACTAAAAAAGGAAGTTCCTTTGTGAACACCGAAACTATTGTAGAAAGAGAAAAGAAACAGAAAATGATTATTTGCATATCCGGATTTATAATTGGGGACAGGTTGGGTTTGATGAATATTTTTAGAAAAATGAAGAAAACATATTCTCCGTAATTAACTTCTGTTTTTAATCAATGTGCATACTTTTGTTCCATACTTACAGCTTTCCTCAGAAACCCATTGAACGCAGTGGATCGGCACAATATGGTGTTGCCGGAATTCCAGGCTCAAACACATCCGGCTCGGAAAGCGGAGGTTATATTTACCTACAGCAACCATATGTACCATCGACCGTATCCACAAATTCAGTAAATTCAATGAATTATCATAGTGATAATCAGCCTGCAATGATCTTCCAACAGCATCCACAATCGTATGCATCGTGCCATCAGCAGCAGCAGCAACAACATCTGCCAATAAATGTGCATGGTGGTAATGACAGAAATTTTACTTGGGTTTTATTTCCAAGACTTTTAATGTGTTCTATTTATTATCAAACAGGTGGTTTGCATTATGCTCATCATATAAGCACACATGAACATGTACATCATAAAAACATTCATCATGTACACGGTCATCATCAGCACCACTATCACCACGGCGGAGCAGTAGTTATGGCCGGCAGTGGAGTTGGAACTGGAACAGGTTGTGGTGGTCCTGGTACATCCCCATCATCCATTCACCAACAAAATGTGAATAAGAAAACATCTATACGTAATGGCAGCGAAGTCTTGAAACGTTCTAGGACACAGTCAGCGTAAGTTTATTGCAATAAATTAAGTATTCGGTTCAGTATTAAAGAATTCATAAATTTTGAATATCACTTAAAATTAAGACTGAAAATGATGGTTCGTATGCCTTGGTTCTACTAAGCTAAACTAATTACAATACCTTTTATATATAGTAGTTATTCCGCTGTTGCATTTGAAATGCACAGTCCACACAAAGTTATGAAAAATGCAATTTGCAATTTTTGACTACATCCATATCACTGATTATAAAATGTTTGCAAAAGTAACAATAATTAAAAGATCCGGAACAAGTGGATTTCGATGATAGCAAAAATAAAAATAGAATAATTTAAAAGGAGTCTTGGAATCATCAAATTTGTTGCACATTTTTTTAAAAATTTAATATATTTTATGTTTCAGTTTTGAGTTTTGTGAATTCATTTTTTCATATTCTTAGAGCATTTTACTTGAAAATCTAATTTTTTTTTGTCGGTTGGGTCCAACGATATGATTTCGAAATCATTTCTGGCTACGACACTGGTTTTACCATATTAACCATCTAGGCTAGAAATTCCGATTTTTACGTACAATTTTGCATTCAGGGCATAAGGGATTAAGTAGTCGTAAAACATAACGTACCACATTACTTCTCTGTGAACTCAAGATCTTTCTAGAAGAATATCTAAAACGTATGCTATCAATAGAAAACTTGCAGAAGATATCATCAAACATTTTAATATTATAGTAATGGAAGCAGATCAAACACGCCTAAGATAAAATATAAATGGAAACGCATTTCATTTTCCGTTAAAAATAAAAATGTTTGGTGGTAGTTTATAATTATTTATTATTTTTTCTAATCGACAGAGGAAAATTGATTTTCTGAAACCAAAATATTAAAGTGATTGCAACGGTTAAAATGTTGGCTTGAATGCTAGACTTTCCCCAAATATCGACAATTACAAAAAAAAATCCTGTTGAGATCTAACTGATCGTTCGACACGATACTGCAAAATTACCAAATTAAATCTGTAAAATTTGCTCTAGGATTACTTAAACTATCAAATAGATATGCTTATTAATAATGTAGTTTCTTATAAAGTAATTTTACAATTGCACTATGCGATAATAAAATTTTCACATCACACTGAATACTTTCTATTATGTTCTGCTGAGTGTGTGTCTGGAGTAATCTGAAGTAGGTTTCTGTTTCAGTTTTGTTGAAATTTGTTTTGCTTTGCCAATAAATTGACGTTAAAATTGTTATCTTATCGAACGACAACGCATTCTTTGACTGTGATAAGACCATGAGACCAATGTAAATACGTACATATATAAATACAAATGTACATGTTTTACTTTTGGAAGAAATAATACAATAGTCTTAGCATTCTATTTTGCAAATAATGCTCCAATTGCCTTAGAATAATGGGCAAAATTTCTGTTTGAGTTTTTTTAGAAATATAGTAAACGTGCTACATAATCTGTCATTCCCAGGTACGAACTGTCGCAAGATTTACTTGAAAAGCAAATCGAGTTGTTGGAACGTAAATACGGCGGAGTGAGAGCTAGAAACGCTGCTGTAACAATACAAAGAGCCTTTCGTCACTATATGATGGTTAAAAAGTTTGCATCTATCACAGCAATGGCGAAAGCCGAGAAACGCCTGAGTCGGAGGACCATGGTTGTGGGAGCCGGTAGTGGGACGGTAGATGACACCTTAGTCAATACATCTGTTTCTTCAGCCTATGTTGGTAGTATTGAATCTCAACTCTCAGATGGCTCAAATATTAATTCGGCAGGAACCCAACAGCAGCATCCCCGAGTCACTATAATGGCTGGTCCACCTGGAGCTGTAAGTGGTCATCAGCCCATGTCTTCCGGGTCGAGAACGCCACCGACACGCTCATTATCAATGCGTGAGAGGCGGAATGTGGACGGAGGTACAATACCGCGTTGTCAGTCCGGTAAGGATAGTGAGAGTGATTTATATTTTCAAAATTTAATTTGTATATATTTTGCAGGGATGTCCAACACTTCTATAACCAGTTGTACTTCCGCGGGTGGGAGTGTTTCGAGTCACCCACATGTTAATCTGTTACATGCAGCGGAACCCCACTATTATGCTGTACAAAACATAAGTGGAAACCAAATAGCAGCATACTGCGGCAGTTATCACTCTGTACAACATGATGCAAGTTTTACCAGCTCAACAAACAGCTCCCATCTTGATTCGTCTCTTAATGTTTCGTGGGTAAATAACAGCGGGTCGTCTCCGCACACACCTTACTATTCAGCTGCTCAAATATATATGCGCCCCAGGGGTTCATCATCCTCGTCGCAGGAACGTAAAAAAGTTCCACCAGAAGTTCCTAAAAGAACTTCTTCTATTACGGCGCAACAACATAGCCAAATGCAGCTACAACAACACCAAGCACATCAGCAAATGATGATAATGCGCCAAACACCCCCGCCACCTTCGATGATGCGTACTAATGGATTGTGCAAATCTGCTGAAAATGGTAGCCTAACATCAGTGCAAAGCTCAGGAAGTGACTCGAGCGCTACATCCGTGGAACGTAATGCGATTAGTGATTTGGGTTCAGATCGATCTAATTCACCAAATACGTGGAAACGTGGCACTAACCTTAATAGTTCTCAACAGTTTGTTCACAATTCCGATCCAGCGTATGCCCATGCACATAACTCTGCAGCAATTGTTGCTGCTTTGGCCACGGGTACATCAGCAGTAGAGGATCACGCAATTTCCTCACATACGAGCGCTGCTCAATATGAACAACACGAACAACATGAGCAAAATCATATGATTGTGCCACCAGTTCAAACACCCAATTATAAAGTTTCCGAAACTATTCGCAAGCGTCAGTATCGTGTAGGACTTAATCTTTTTAACAAAAAGCCTGAGAAAGGAATTACTTATTTAATACGACGTGGATTTCTTGAAAATTCGCCACAAGGCGTAGCGCGATTTCTCATTACACGCAAGGGCTTGTCCCGGCAGATGATCGGTGAATATTTGGGCAATTTGCAGAATCCATTCAATATGGCGGTGCTCAATTGTTTTGCCATGGAACTCGATTTGTCGGGGATGCAGGTCGACGTGGCGCTGCGGAAGTTCCAGGCGTACTTCCGCATGCCGGGTGAAGCTCAAAAAATTGAACGTTTAATGGAAGTTTTCTCGCAACGCTTTTGTCAATGCAATCAGGATATTGTTGGTCGGTTGCGATCGTCAGATACGGTAAGTACAACAAATCGTATTCTTTTAATGTGTATTTATTAATTATATGCTTAATTTCTCCTTTTCTTTTGTGTCATAGATATTTGTACTAGCTTTCGCAATTATTATGTTAAATACCGATCTTCACACGCCAAATTTGAAACCAGAGCGTCGAATGCGTGTCGAAGATTTTATTAAAAATTTACGTGGAATTGACGACTGTCATGATATTGACAAAGATATGTTGGCTGGTATATATGACCGCGTCAAGGCAAATGAATTCAAGCCGGGCAGTGACCACGTCACACAGGTGATGAAAGTGCAAGCCACTATCGTTGGGAAGAAACCAAATTTAGCTCTTCCACATCGTCGGCTTGTTTGTTATTGCCGTTTGTATGAAATCCCTGATATTAATAAAAAGGAACGTCCTGGCGTCCATCAGCGGGAAGTATTTCTTTTTAACGATTTGCTAGTCATAACAAAGATTTTCAGCAAGAAAAAGTCATCTGTAACGTATACATTTCGCAATAGCTACCCACTCAGTGGCATGGTTGTTACGCTATTGGACGTACCCAATTATCCATTCTGTATTCAGTTGTCGCAAAAGGTAGACGGTAAAATTCTGGTGACTTTTAATGCTCGCAACGAACACGACCGCTGCAAATTTGCTGAAGATTTAAAGGAGTCAATATGTGAAATGGATGAAATGGAAGCTTTGCGCATAGAAGCCGAACTAGAACGACAAAAATCGGCTCGAACACGTGCCACTGGTAACTCGGAGAATCGTGATAGTGGTGTGGCAGATGTTGAAGTATGCCCATGCCCATACCAAACTCCCCAGCCAAATGAGCATGCTCAAAATACAGCCGATTCAACGCAGCAGTTGAAAAGAAGTGCTCTCAGTAACAGTTTATTGGATATACACGAACAATGTAAGTCAACACTTTAAAGTATGTTTTTAAACATATATTCAAGCGATTTAAAAGCATTTCTTTTTTTTAATTTTTCGAGCGTGAAATTTTATTCTATGTTTCTTAAAATTATAGATGTGACGAAAATTTGGTCATATCTTCGGTATTTTGCAATCAACATTAATATATTTAACACATGCAATTAACTTGCAAACAGTTTCCGATATGCTAAAACGAAAGCATGGCTTAAGAGATAAATACATAAGAGAATTTTTTATGGCAGTCATCGGCTGGCTTTCTAGTTTAAAGGGGTAACTCTAGTTTTGTAAAAGCTCTTATATTTTTTACCTTTTTCTAAAGGTAAATATTTACCCCTGTGTTTTATAACCCGAAAGTTCGGTTGCAAGATATAAACTATTAAACCGATATAAACAATGTACATATTTTATAATTCCCAAAACGTTAAAAATGACCTATTGTGGGGGCCCATAACTTTTCTGATGTATGAGAAACATTACCCGGAATGTTTGCTCCTTATTCTCTTGCTTCGAGCCGGGATTGAGAGCAACCCCGGATCATGGCGTCTGCCATAATCGCATTCACCTCAGATCGAGCTCGGTGAGATGCAACCGATGCATGAGTGCACTTCCCGAGTTGTTTCTCCAGAGGTGGAGGATTAGCGTTCCTATTTCACCTCTCTGTCCAGCACAGACCTACCTCGCCTGAGCTTGATTCTAGAGACCTATACATGGAATATAGGGGTAGAGGTCAAGTCTGGAACCGACGAGGTAGAGCTAATTCACATGTACATCCCGCCGTTAAATAGATGTGAACGCCCTCTCTGAACGCTGCACTTTCCATAACCATGGGAAAGCCTACTGGGAAGATTTCAGAGAACATACCAATCGCCGCTTCAGATAACTCTCCAACCAATCTGATATTCAGGTAGCAGTTAAGTGCTTTCAGGACATAATCAAAGCTGCAGCGGCTCGTTATATACCTGCAGGTCGAATACCTGAAATGAGACCAAAATTCCCAGTAAAGGTAACGGTATTAGCAAATGAGCTTCGTCATATTGACTCCAATAATCCCAGAGACTGGTTAGTTGGCGAGTATAAGCGAAAAAGGGGTCTAGAACATGTGAGGCATTGTAACATAAGTCGCTTTCGAACCCTGGAAAATGGATGATCGGACATCTGTACTATTAAGGGTATAGTACTTACAGATCCGAAGAGTTATTATAATCGGCAATTCATAAAGTGCCCTGAGAGCGACAGGGCTAAGAGAAGAATTTCATGCCGAGTACAATCTCTCCCTCAGGAGCACAAAGTCATACAAAGCGCTTGGTCCTTATGTAGTGATTCCTATGGTGATATTGAAGCAACTGAATGAACCAGGAGATGAGTACCTAACCAAGCTCCTCAATTTGTCGTTAGCCACCCTATTAGACTCAGAAGCTTTGCAATGGGCAGGGTGGTCCTGCTACTGAAGTCAGGCAAGAATACCAGCAATTCATACAGGTCGATATATTATTGAGTGGCTGATCATCAACACGGATTTCAGAAATGGTTTGATATCGTCCATGTAAGTAAATGGGAACGCATGTCGTTTGCAAGCGATTAAATCGAGGTAAACTCACAATGGTCACAATGTTCCCATAATGTAAGAAACATCCTTGCATAGAACGTTCACAGTAGATGTTAGTTTTGATATAATCCCCAAATATATGACAGAAAATTGCACATATAGGTTCAGGTCTTCGCATAGTTCCATATAACTGTACCTCCAGATATACGGTATTTACATGATTTTAGCGACATTATTCACAGGGATTGTATTAAATTCGTATTTTTTAGCAGTATTTTTCATATTTTTTAGCAGTATTTGTAAATTTGTTCCAACTGTTTTTTTATTTGTTAATTATAATATCCAACTCCCTATTTTTCTGTAGTTTACCTTGTCATATTCAAATAAGATTCAAAATATTATTTAAATGAATGTGAATCTTACTAGTTTCTAGTGAATAAACTTGCCTTTAATAAATTAATTAGAAATTAATAAAAAAAGGAATACTGCATTTCCTTTTTTAAAAATAAACTGAAGAATTTTCCTTTTGGCGATTTCTAGCACTGGATTTTGCTATGGCGGTAGAAAAAAATCTGAGAAGTACGCCCAGCTATAGCAGCTGGTGTAGAATACAAACTTGACAACATTGTCAGAAGCACGAATAAATTGGTTTAATTGTAGTGACCGACATTGCCTAAGCCAAAAAAGCCCAATAAATGTCGACAAAAATCAAAAAATGATCTCACAAAAAAATATTTTTTTTTTAATTTAATTTTTTTAATATTTGAAAAACTCAAGAGAGAAAAAAACTGTTTAGTTTGCAATGAAAAACGTAAACCATTTACGTGGAATTTACAGAAAAATAAGAAAAATTTGTAAATTATGTAAAATTCATCTATTACTATTAGAAACTAAACGCTAAAAAAGATTGAATTCGAAATAATTAAATTGAATTTATAAATAATAATGCCGGCTTTAGGGTGCTTTAACAGAAAAATATAACTGTCAATCGAAATTCAATAACGACTAGCCGTTATATGCTACAAAAAACTCAAAATAATTTTTTACAAAAAAAAAAAAAAAAACGAAATAAAACACAAGCAGCGTCGGCAGAGCGATCAACGCATGTGAGTTGTTAACTACCTCACTACAAAACAACCAACGTCAACGATCTAGCAGTGAAAGGTGGGGATAAAAAGATGGGCGGTAGATTTGAATATTAATAAAACGACGGTTGAAAAGGCGCTTTGAATATTTGGGTATTCTTGTTGTTGCGATTAAACGAAAATAAACCAACAAAATCGATCAAACAAAGAGTCGGGAATAGGAAGAAATTGTTGGTATTTTTTGAATTGCAATGAAAAAAGGGAACGATGTATAATAACAGTGTTGTAATAGTTTTTCTCACTAGTGACTTACCATGGCACAATAACAAGGTTTTCCTGACGATTTGAAAAACTAGATAAAATGTCGACATTTGTTGAGAATTTTTTTTCTATTAGTTAATCATTTGTTCTGTAATTAGAATAATTATTTATTTAACACAATTATTTAGCAAAATTACCGACTATACGTGGACTGTATATTATATGTAATGATAGAACACACGCGTTAAGGTAATTGTAGGGCGACCAGTACGCGAGTTAGAGAACCAATTTACAAAGTTAATATTTTTTAAAAACAAAAAATGCAAAACCTATTGCATTCGAGATATGTTCAATACAAAAGAAACTGAACTACTACTACTTTTAAAATAGAAAAAAGCAACAATTAGTAAAAACTTTAAAGAGTTCGCTAAATGATCCGACTCGAATGGATCAAAATGTTGGTGTGATACCAGTGGCGTGATACCGGTGGCGTGATACCGAGACAAATAAACAGAAAAAGAAAGGAAATTAAAAACAAGTAAAAATACATTCGGTCTATATATCAAATACCCACCAATACGAACAATGTATTAGAATTGTTAAAATACCAAATACCCGAAGGTACCCCGATATGTTTGAGCTATACGAAAACGTGGACCTATATATACAATGTTCCGCAACTGCAGCTAGAACCCATTACAAACAACAAATACCATTTTTAGACAAACCCGTGGAAAATGTGGTAAAATCATCAAAATACCCAATACAAACTACTGTGCCAAATATTAAAGCTCTATGTCAAATAATGTGGGCTGTATCGTGATTTCAACAGACAGATGGACATCGTCAAATCGACTTGTTATTGCTTGCTTGCTTTCCAAAATACTCCAGACACAATAGTCCAACGGATTGCTATCCGGAGATTTTGGTGGCCATTGTGCGCTGGAAATGAAGCGAGGAACCTCATTTTGCAACCATTCTTGGGTGAGGCGTGCTGAGTGCATTCCTGTTGGAAGAATCCAAGGTCTGCGGCCAAAAAGTTTGCGTGCCCATGGCTTTTATACACCCTCCAGAAAATTTTCGGGATAATATTCGGCATTTATTCTGATGCCACGATCGATGAATACGAGCGGAGAGCGACCATCGGTCGTTATGGCGGCTCACACTAAAGGCCAGCACAAGACGAATTGTAGTTGTATGCTTTTTTCGAAACACTGGTTTTATCTACTCAATTATGCGCTATGCATTTGATAGGCAATGACAACCAACAACATCCCTCATTTTGATTCATGTGTGCCATTGTCTGAGGTTCTCCATAAATGCAGGGTGTCGACGATGACATCGAACCATGTCGTCGTCAAATTGTGTGTTATTTGTGTACGTGTGCTTAAATTGAGAGAGTGTGTGTCTTACTTTCGACGGTGAGGATGTGTTTTTGTGTGTGCTGTAATTTTGAAGTAGAAAACACCGCGTAAATATAACATTGTATATATAACCAATAATTCAAAATATTATTATTATTAGATGAGGGCAGATATGACTCTCATTCAATATCAATATATGCAGACATCAACAAATGAATAGAAAAAAATGGAAAATATGGACAATCTCAATTTTTGTTCATAAAATAATAGGAAAATATTGTTTGCTTATTTTCTACCTACATATAGTGTTCTTTTAAAATTACAGTATGGGGGCAGAGATATGACTCTCATTCAATAAGAATATTCACAGAATGGAACTCAATCACTCAATCCCACAGGGGCTGGTTCTACGATACCGGATTGACCCGAAACAACAAGATCCCAGTTTCGGCCAGCGGCTGCCAACCCAGTATGTACATGTTTGTGTTTGTTTATTTTTCTGCATTGGGAGCAGCATATCCCGGAATGCTTGCTCCGGATTTTATTGGTCCTTGCCGGGATTGAGGAAAACCCCGGACCGTGGTTCTGCTCGGTTTGTCAGAACTTCATCCACCACAGATCTGTTTCGGTGCGATGTAATGGATGCAGAGAATGGGTGCACTTCAAGAACTGTTCCGGACTAAGGCGTTTGCGAGACTACAGCGAAAGGGATTATGTTGCGACT